CTGTGCTACAGCTATATCCAAACAGAAGTGTCCTAGCCCAACTGTGCTACAGCTATATCCAAACAGAAGTGTCCTAGCCCAACTGTGCTACAGCTATATCCAAACAGAAGTGTCCTAGCCCAACTGTGCTACAGCTATATCCAAACAGAAGTGTCCTAGCCCAACTGTGCTACAGCTATATCCAAACAGAAGTGTCCTAGCCCAACTGTGCTACAGCTATATCCAAACAGAAGTGTCCTAGCCCAACTGTGCTACAGCTATATCCAAACAGAAGTGTCCTAGCCCAACTGTGCTACAGCTATATCCAAACAGAAGTGTCCTAGCCCAACTGTGCTACAGCTATATCCAAACAGAAGTGTCCTAGCCCAACTGTGCTACAGCTATATCCAAACAGAAGTGTCCTAGCCCAACTGTGCTACAGCTATATCCAAACAGAAGTGTCCTAGCCCAACTGTGCTACAGCTATATCCAAACAGAAGTGTCCTAGCCCAACTGTGCTACAGCTATATCCAAACAGAAGTGTCCTAGCCCAACTGTGCTACAGCTATATCCAAACAGAAGTGTCCTAGCCCAACTGTGCTACAGCTATATCCAAACAGAAGTGTCCTAGCCCAACTGTGCTACAGCTATATCCAAACAGAAGTGTCCTAGCCCAACTGTGCTACAGCTATATCCAAACAGAAGTGTCCTAGCCCAACTGTGCTACAGCTATATCCAAACAGAAGTGTCCTAGCCCAACTGTGCTACAGCTATATCCAAACAGAAGTGTCCTAGCCCAACTGTGCTACAGCTATATCCAAACAGAAGTGTCCTAGCCCAACTGTGCTACAGCTATATCCAAACAGAAGTGTCCTAGCCCAACTGTGCTACAGCTATATCCAAACAGAAGTGTCCTAGCCCAACTGTGCTACAGCTATATCCAAACAGAAGTGTCCTAGCCCAACTGTGCTACAGCTATATCCAAACAGAAGTGTCCTAGCCCAACTGTGCTACAGCTATATCCAAACAGAAGTGTCCTAGCCCAACTGTGCTACAGCTATATCCAAACAGAAGTGTCCTAGCCCAACTGTGCTACAGCTATATCCAAACAGAAGTGTCCTAGCCCAACTGTGCTACAGCTATATCCAAACAGAAGTGTCCTAGCCCAACTGTGCTACAGCTATATCCAAACAGAAGTGTACTAGCCCAACTGTGCTACAGCTATATCCAAACAGAAGTGTCCTAGCCCAACTGTGCTACAGCTATATCCAAACAGAAGTGTCGCTACAGCTATATCCAACTGGAAGTTAAAGGGAGGTTACTGTACATGTTGACTGGGTGTAGATTTATATCTAGGGTTACCCAATACATAGGCTTAGTCATGTGTATGCGAGTATGTATATGTCCTGAGTGAGAGAGCGTTTACCGGATGTTGTGCATGCAGCTCGATCTATATGAACGACGCATGCACAACTACTTTCCATCACACCCCACAAACCCTTGTCCAGATACTCCAAGCTGAGCAGGACATGCCTAGGCCCTGGTAAGACAGACTATCTACTAAGTCTTATTTAAATGTAACAATAGCTATCAAATATACATATCAATTGTCCATTATTAGAGATTATAGTAGTTATTGGGATGTTCACTGTACCTATATTTGTATTTATTTTACAGAAAAAAAGGAGAGAAGACAAAAAAATAAATAATGTAATAAAATAAATACATTCAAAGAATTAATTTCCATGCATGATACTCTGCATCAAAGAAGAAATCTTGATCACATAAAGAATGATACATGAATTTCATTTAAATGATTCTGATAATGGATTCGCAAACTGTCAACCATAGCATTTCAAAATGGAATTTCAAAGACTTTCTTATTAAAATGATAAGTGCAAGGTGTCATTCTGCTGATGCATTCTTGTAAATAAATCTTTCTATGTACAATAATGTACTGAAATGTAACTTACATGAAAAAACGATATCGGCACTATATTTTGCAGAAAAGTTTTATTATTTCTTTGATTTGTTGAAAAGGAAAAACATGTTTTACTTCACTAGCCAAATTACTGAAAATAGGCAAAGTTTCCCTTTACTCACTTCTTTTTCAAATCATGTTTTAAGACTTGAATGAGAACGAATAATAAGACCAATAATTATTTTAAAATCTTAATAGTGCTCCCGTTGCGAATCGACTTATGACTTTTATCAAACATATCAAATTCAAAAGTGTAGTGGGACTACTTACAAATGCAATGATATTTACTTGAACAGGAAGGTGTACAACAGGAGTACATATATAATATATAAGGTGGACAACAGGAGTACATATATAATATATAAGGTGGACAGCAGGAGTACATATATAATATATAAGATGGACAACAGGAGTACATATATAATATATGAGGTGGACAATAGGAGTACATATAACAGTTGGACTAGGACACTTCTGTTTGGATATAGCTGTAGCACAGTTGGGCTAGGACACTTCTTTATATATTATATATGTACTCCTATTGTCCCCCTCATATATTATATATGTACTCCTGTTGTCTACCTTATATATTATATATGTACTACTCCTGTTGACCACCTTATATATAATATATGTACTACTCCTCTTCTCCACCTTATATATCATATATGTACTAGTCCTGTTGTCCACCTTATATATCATATATGTACTACTCCTGTTGTCCACCTTATATAATTTATTATTATATATGTTCTCCTGTTGTCCACCTTATATATGATTTATGTATTCCTGCTGTCCACCTTATATATTATATATCTACTCCTGTTGTCCTCCTTATATATTATATATGTACTCCCGTTGTCCACCTTATATGTTATATATGTACTACTCCTGTTGTCCACCTTATATAATTTATTATTATATATGTTCTCCTGTTGTCCCCCTTAAATATTATATATGTCCTCCTGTTGTTCACCTTATATAATTTATTATTATATATGTACTCCTGTTGTCTACCTTATATATTATATATGTACTACTCCTGTTGACCACCTTATATATAATATATGTACTACTCCTCTTCTCCACCTTATATATCATATATGTACTAGTCCTGTTGTCCACCTTATATATCATATATGAATTCCTCTTGTCCACCTTATATATTATATACGTACTCCTGTTGTCCACCTTATATAATATATATGTACTCCTGTTGTCCATCTTATATATTATATATGTAGTCCTGCTGTCCACCTTATATATTATATATATACTCCTGCTGTCCACCTTATATTTTATATATGTACTCCTGTTGTCCACATTATATATTATATATGTCCTCCTGTTGTTCACCTTATATAATTTATTATTATATATGTCCTCCTGTTGTCCCCCTTATATATTATATATGTCCTCCTGTTGTCCCCCTTATATATTATATATGTCCTCCTGATGTCCACCTTATATAATTTATTATTATATATGTACTCCTGTTGTCAACCTTATATATTATATATGTACTCCTCTTGTCCACCTCATATATTATATATGTAATCCTATTGTCCACCTCATATATTATATATTTACTCCTGTTGTCCATCTTATATATTATATATGTAGTCCTGCTGTCCACCTTATATATTATATATAAGGTGGACAACAGGAGTACATATATAATAATAAATTATATAAGGTGGACAACAGGAGGACATATATAATATATAAGGTGGCCACCAGGAGTACATATATAATAATAAATTATATAAGGTGGACAACAGGAGGACATATATAATATATAAGGTGGACAACAGGAGTACATATATAATATATAAGGTGGACAGCAGGAATACATATATGATATATAAGGTGGACAACAGGAGTAGTTCATATATAATATATAAGGTGGACAACAGGAGTACATATATAATATATAAGGAGGACAACAGGAGTACATATATAATATATAAGGTGGACAACAGGAGTAATTCATATATAATATATAAGGTGGACAACAGGAGTAGTACATATATAATATATAAGGTGGACAACAGGAGTACATATATAATATGCTCCACTTTTGGCAGGCATCAACAACTTACACCAAGGATGACTACATCGTATAAACTTGGGTTTATCCTGACAGTAAGGGACATAACTCTGTCTTATAACACTTTACACCCAACATAGCTATCTATACTTTATAAAACATCTGTCTGATCTGGCAGTAAGGGACATAACTCTGTCTTAAAACATCTTACACCCAACATAGCTATCTATACTTTATAAAACATCTGTCTGATCTGGCAGTAATGGACATTCACTGTAACCCTGTCTTATAACAACTAACACCCAACATAGCTATCTATACTTTATAAAACATCTGTCTGATCTGGCAGTAAGGGACATAACTCTGTCTTAAAACACCTTACACCCAACATAGCTATCTATACTTCATAAAACATCTGTCTGATCTGGCAGTAAGGGACATACACTGTAATCCTGTCTTCAGCAACTTACATGAACACTCAACATAGCTAGCTACACTATACAGAACATTGGCCTAACCATGGTAATTAAAGAACATCACTTTATCTGATAACAACTTACACCTAGAACATCATTATATAAAAACTCACAATCACACCTAGATCACTAGTCGGATCCTGGTCAGGGGACATCACTAGATACGACAGTGTAACAGTTAACTCAATAAATGTAGTTATGATTGGGAGTTAACTCATTGTGCTATATGCCTGTGGTTAGGATGGAGTGATAACTCAATAACTGCAGCTATGATTGAGAGTCCTCGCAATACCTGTAGTTATGTATGAGAGTCTTCGCATGATAACACAATAACTGTATAGTTATGAATGAGAGTTAACTCAATACCCGTAGTTACGTCTGAGTGATAACACAATAACTGTAGTTCAGATTAAGTGATAACTCAAAACCTGTTGATATTATTGAGTGATATAACTTAAAACATTAAATCATGATTGAGTTCTGTGTGAAAATAAAGTAGAGCCTGAATGCTTACCTCGTTTTGAATGTAATTTTGGCTTTAATCTTTGAAAGTCTGGACAATTATTCCTGAGAAAAAGATAGTCAGTTGATGCATCCCACTCGAAATTGTCAAAAATGGCAACTTTAAAATCACATGATGTACATCGCATCTGATCACAGCACCTAAAACCATAAAACAGACATTTATGACAACATACATTATGATCTTGTGTCTATTGCCGATATTTATTTGTAGTACATTCAAAAATTGTACTGCTTGGGTTGAGATTTTTCTGTCAAAACCAAAAAGTGGGGGAAACTGGGTTTTCCCCCCCTTATTTTTGACCATTTTTAAATAAAATAAAGTTATTCATATTTGAAGAAATAATGGTTTTAACTTTGTTAAAAGCACACATAAAGAATCCACTATCAAATGTATACCTAGACAGGAAAATACACTGTGAATCATGTCTCAACACATGTACACTTAACATTGTCATATTTTTGTCCTGTCAAAATTCACATAGAGGCCAAATGTCAGTATATTGACAAATGAAAACTTCTGCTCATTTTTTTTTTTTTTTAAAGGTTTAAATTGTATTTTATACCCCCAGCATCTTTTGGGAGGGATGCCAGGGTTTGGGTGCCCCGGGTTCATCCCTCTTACATAATATAGCCTCACGCAAGAGGCCTATTTCCCTTAATTCTCTCATTCTTTTTCATTCCTTCTTTCAAACTCAAAATCATTCATTCTTTGATTCTCATTCATTACAAAACAATAATATTGAATTTGATCAAAATGATATATTAAATCACACAAACCATTCCTTCTTTTTTGTATTCAAAAGTTCATGTACATGCCAAAAATCCTGCTTTATCAATTTGGGATTGCCATATTTTCCTAAAATTTAGACAAGATAAACCTGAATTTATGTACTAAGAATGATGTTGTTTTTCATGTGAAATTTGGATTAAATCAAGAAAGAATGTCTGGGGAAATAAAAAATGTACAAATACGAATGTACCCACTGATCTAAACCTATATACATAGACACAAAAACATAAACAGTGTACAATTACGTGAAATTTAACTACATATTATGTATTCATAAATAAAGTATACACACACTCTAGATGACAAAAATATTACTGCAGTCAAACATACCACAGATAATTGTACATTTTTCATTTTCAACCAATGAAACACTCCAAATCTTTTCGATATGTGTTAAGAAGGCGAAGTAAATGGAACATGCTCTAGGTTAATTACAATTATTGATAAGTGTAAATGGTTATCAAAATATAAATTACATTTCAAATGTTAAATATTTCTATAAGCAAAATACAATAATGTACACTTACATTGGTTGAAAATAATCAATTTGATGTAATGGTATGAAATATATCTGCACCATTGAATGTTTTATGTCCAAACACCCATTCTTATGTCTCTGCTCCATGAATTGAGAGTTATAACTTTCAGTCAAGGTTGTGGCAAACTTTGGTAATGAGAAGCAAGGCTAAGCACTGTTAAGTACATTATCATCATTCCTGGCCTAACCAGAGGGTACAGAGTTCTTCTGAAACCGATTTTGAATGTCCATGTCTGATGACCTTGGATCATGGGTCAAGGTCACAACCTGCACTTTTTTTAGTCCATACTTGCCAACTTTTTGAACTTTCTATGGCCATGGGGGAGATTACGCGCGCTCAGAATTGAAAGCATAAAAGGTGTGTAATTAAATGGCATCTTTCAGATGAAATCATTAGATGTTAGAATATAGGAATATTTTAGCAAATTCACTGGTTTAAAACGCTCCATTTTAGGGTCCAAAATCAAGTCTCCCTCCAAAATCTGGAGAGTTGGCAAGTATGTGAGTCTTGGTGATAATGCTGTGAAACGTGATCAAGCTCCAGCCAAAGTGTACACAGTTATAGCCAAGACATATATTTTAGATGTCCATGCTCAATGACCTTGACCTTAATTATATCACTTGCATAAACGTACTTAGTAACATTACATGAATATCTATCCAATATTTTCTTTCTTACCTTGGATTCATAGAATTGCCCATTCCTAGAGAGCTAGCAGAACCGCCTATATATACTGGAAAACATCTGTAAAACATCATGACAGTATTACCAAAGCACTTTTTTGTAAAGACATCTTTATGTATATAATGGTGCCCCTGACAAGAAACACCATAATTATTGTCACAGCATCAAGAAAATTTCACTCTTGGAGTTTATCATAAACATGATTTCTGTATGTCCAACCATGCCCCAAGTGTTCTAATTATACATAAATGTGCCCCTATATTATAGTTAATAGCTATATGACACACCTTTATAATTAGCCGAGCATGTATAAACTTACTGGTTAGACTAATGGTCTATACTGTACATATGTATTAGAACAGGCATTTAGTCGACTTACTTTCGGGCAGATTCTGGACGCATTCCAGTTTGATTGCCTGACTGTATATCACTCGATTTCTGTAATATAATTTTTATAGAAATGAACAAACTAATATTTTTATTAAACTGTAAGGCAAAAAGTTTACTTTTGTTTAAAAACAGTTATTATATTGTTATCAATGAGAAGTGTACATGTGACATAATAATAAATGGTAAAGGGGTAGGACACTGAAGTACTTAAAATTGACAATATAGGGGAAGTGAAGACACTTTATGAGGGTGGTAGGTTCTAAAATAATTGTTAACAAATGTATAGAGGGCCCCATGGGGTCCAGGAAAACATATTTATAAACCTGTATATCTGCAAGTGGTAGCAGGGGGTCACAAAAGTGTATGTTGCCCCAAAACTACTGGTATACATATTTATTTCTCAAATAGCTCAGTTTCTTTTAACTTACAATTGGTTTGAAATCAGCATCTACTGTTATATCATTTAAAATGTCATCCAAGTCATCTTCTGTTGATTTTCTGAATGAAAAAAAATGAAAAGGATATGTTGTAACCACAACCAAGTACATGTTGAGTAGTAATGTTGTTGTGAAAATTGTTTACAAAATGTTCACATTGCAGGGCTTTCAACATGACACTTAGCAATTTCAGAATTAAGATAACATTTGTATATATACCCAGCTCATTCTTGGAAGTCAGAAGATAATCTCAAGAGTCTACTCGCAAAACTTAGTCAAACTGTATGTTGGCTTCAGATTGGGTCCAGGTACATTTAGTTACCTATAAGCATGGACTTCTATAGCAATCTTAATTCTGTGATATTATATTAAGGTTCAATAAATGGTAAATAAAATAATGTAAAAAGAAATGATATCAAACAAACAAAAATGTAAAAACAATAAAGAAAAATATCGACACTTTGACATTTACATGTATAAAACTTAAATATTAAAAGTACTGATGATAGTTATATAGGTATACCGTTTGGAACAGATTATATATACATTTAAGCATGGTGTCTGCACACAAAATTGTGATCAATAAACCTAATTAAAACTGTCTGATAATATCTTGCGCACATCTATAGGTGTACATTATTGATTTAACAAACCAAACGAAGAATGAGCGACATTTATCGCATGTACAGTCATGATCAGTGTATGAAAAAAATACAAATTCTGATAGGTAATGAATAAATACAATTTGACACCTCATTTTGAATCTTTAGTATTTTTTGGATTTTTTGAATAAATGAATGTTTTCAAAGTCTCTTTAATGGTCTAATTATACATATAACGTTATATAGGCCTATGTTGTCACGTTTAGTCCTGGAAGAATAGGTCATACTACTACATGTCACAGCTAGAAAAAACAATTAACATACATGTGGGGCCAGGGCAGTTGTTTTTACATGTAATTGTCTATCAAGTCCTCTGACATTAATCTTGAAATTGTTTAAGCTGGTCAGTACCATGTAGAAGTAGAAGTAATATATCATCGATCAATTCTCCAATCAGCTATCAACACCGACACCTGTGAACAGATGAACATAATAATGGAATTCCGAAAGGCCTCATTGAGCCATTTAAAAGCACACGTTGTGGTCCATGCTGACATTATCTTGTCATCTTGGACAACCCATTCTACCTGTTTCTATTCGGTTGTTTGTTTTTCTGTTTAGCTTTCGCACAGTATTTAGTTTCCACTTCATCGAGAAGGTCGTCTAAATCGTCTGCCATGATTACTACCTAACCGGTCCGCACACTTTTTCTGTAGAACGGTATTCAATGTTTACATCATTGTCACAACAATTCATGTTCGAGTCAAGCGTGCTCTTGATACAGATTAATTCATCATATTTCTTTGAGGTTTATTTTTTTCTTCATTAGCCTTCAGTATGTTTTCCCAAAAATGGGACTGGCGTGTAACAATTTATTACTGAATCAGTGTTAATAAAGATAGTATATACTGTGTTTTCAATAAAGTGTTTCGTTTTATTAGTTCGATATTTTGACACAACCGTCTCGATTTCACATCCGACTTATGTATACGCATGCGCAATACACGAAGCTGTCTGGCAGACGTGACATAGGTTAAATCCAGCGATCTTCCCTAAATTTCAGAGGCTCTGTAGATACAGAGATGGCAAGACAACAAGTTCTCCATCTAGAACCTTCAAATGAGTTGAGGTTCACAGGTATGGTGCCAGACATGCTGAAATATTACGGCCCACACCCATGCCGCACTAGCTCAAAATCGCGAACTTTCCGACAATATTTTCGTCATACTGTGTTATCCTGTAAAATCGATTCCGAAAGTTGCACGATATAATGGGATTTGTACGGCCTCACTACCCTCCCAATATGTCAAATAAAGTACCTGTGTATGTGTGTTGTTTGTATACCACTTTTACACAGTGATATGATGTGAATTCAAATACTGAAAACGGTAAAAAGCAATTATCATTTGGAACTATTTCAAGCAGTTATTGATATTGACTATCATAACGGGGCATCTCCATCGGTATAAGTGATTCAATAAGCTGTTATTAGCATTTACAAGGTAATCATACAGGGAATACGTTTTTCTTTCCAACATTCTGTCAATGCACGGTTGTAACGCACTAGTTGATGAGTGGTCACTGATGATGAGTCACATTTGTTTGAACAATGGAATTATATTATCTACATGTCAAGTACAGGCTGATAGTGTACCTATTTACTGTAGACCATCAAATCCAATACCGCTAGGTCATATATAGCAAGCATCTTGTAAAACTTTCATATCACCAAAGACCATAAAATGCAAGCTATAGACAAATCGGTTTAGTTGGATTTATAAGGAACAAGTTCATATTCTGTTCCGGCATGTCACAATATAATATAAGTTATAACTCTACCAGAGCTAGACTGGTGTCAGTAAATGACTTCTTTTCATACCTTTCTCTTATGTCTTTCTAAGGAGTGTTTCAACCAAAATCCAGTTCACCCAAGGTTGTTTAATATATTATACTTTTAAAACAATGAACATCAATTTAAACATTTTTGCTGATAAAATACTTACTATTTTATGTTTCACAAACAACTGTGTTGTCGGAGAACTTCATATGGATGCTGTGTGAAAATCTGTTCCACCCTATAAGGGTCTATACAGAAAAAGATATAAAGGAAGAATAAGGAGCAACTTTCATTGAGGCTGTATTAGCCATATACTACTGAACAGGCCCAAAATATCTTTGCTCTAAAAATGTTTTAGATTGAAAAAAAACTATCGTGAAACAACCCAGGATGGACAGGATTGCTATTTCTCGGGAACTGATAGAAGGGATAATGTCAAAACTTTAAAAAAAATGCTTGATCCTCTTATGAGTTACCTACCGTAATTGTGAATGCTTTGAATTTGGGTGTATCAGAAAATAAAATAAAAGAGGGTAATTTTTGATTCTGCATGGCTTAAACTGTAAATATGGTGGAGGTTACATCTAATTTTACCAAAAATATTGAAGATGATGAAATTTGATAGGCATTATCTACCCTATCTCTAGTCGTGCAAAGGATCTAAAAAACAAAAATGGCCACTAGGCAGTCAGTCATCTTGGCTATTTCTTGCTTCAAGCTTAAGGATTATGACGAACAAGGATCATGACAAACTATGGTATACATTATCCCTATAGTCCCTAGCTATACAGGTGTGGCCGCCTTTAATTTAGACAAATCAGAATAACAATATTCACTATAGGCCTATTTGGATTTTGTATTTTTTTCTCACCACTATTTTATCAAACCATTCTTAAAGGTTCCCTGTAGTTGTGCATGGGATGGATCATGATCAGAAATAGCTCCTCAAAGATCATGTTGCCTGGCATGATTTCCATATTGCACCTGTCTATGTACATAGAAAAAAAAGCTACTTATTTGGTTTTGTAATATATTTAATTTATTTCCTATAACTATTAAATTGTACCTTTTTAACCGAAACAAATTCTACTATATATGATGTATCAATTCTTATCACAATGGAATTCTAAGTAAAATGGATTTATACAGAGTTTGTGAAAATTGAAATTCTTTGCGATCAGAAGTCGTCCTAAAACTGCATGTTCTGCAACATCAGCAAAGTGCTTTGACAAGAATATGCTGGTATCTTTTATGACTTGTCGAAGGTGAATTTGGTTGATTGATGATCATGGAGTCAAAATCCTTTTAAAATTCATGAACAGTGCTGGATATATATGGTACCTTAGTGAGTCTATATATATGTCCAAAAGAATGAAAAATTGTTATTTACTTTCAGTGAAGAATGTGCTTGTTTTTTCATTCCCAGGTCCTTTTAATGATGCGGTTACAGCAAATCTGAAGTTAAGTAACCCAGAAGAAAAAAAAGTTTTATTCAAAGTAAAAACAACAGCACCAAAGCGATACTGTGTTCGTCCTAATAGTGGAATAATTGAACCAGGAGCATCTATCACAGTTGCAGGTTTGTATAATGCCATTCATGAATACTCTCAATACTTTTAAATGCTCTAAAACTCCATGTTGTTCTTGTATTATAACTCTGTTCCTTAGCATTGTTGATATTCTATATTACATACTAAAATTCAGTGATATAAAGTCAGACATTTTATTAATGCTGGTGAGTTTTGCCATAATGCACATTATGTTGCTATAAAATTGTACCAGAAGTGTCATGTGTAATTGTATTTAAAATATATTAAGTGTTTGTATTGAATTAAATTTTAATGATTTTACACAACATTTTTTTAAATTTCAGTTATGTTGCAACCATTTGAGTATGACCCCACAGAAAGGAATAAACACAAGTTTATGGTTCAGACCCTTTTTGCACCAGATGGTCCCATTGAAAGCCAAGAAGAACTGGTATGAATTTTCTTTAAATGAATTACAGTGATACTGTAAACATGTTTATTTTATTCCATAATTTTTGCACCAACTCTAATGCTTTATTTTTAAGATGAAACACTATACTTTCAAACTTGTTATGTACAACCTTAAGTTCTTATATTAGATACATCTGCTACCTTTAGACTATTCCCTTTGTAATTAAAATAACCAAACATCCCATGGGGATCAAACGCTATAAGGGTCTGACACTCATGAGGGCTGATTATCATAAGGAACCTTTGGTCCACACTTTGGTTTCTACAAGATAATTGGTAATTAAAGGGATGTACAATATATACTAAAGGATAAGTCTGATGATAACTGATATCAGTGAATAATTAATTAGAATACTGTGCTGTTTTGTTGGTAGTTGGGTTAATATTCATATTATACATGTGTCAGCACAGATTAAGTTTGAAGTTAAATACAATCTGCACATTGCTTTGGTGGGCATATGTTGTTCTGCCCCTGTGGTTATTATGTCTCCCCTTCGAATGAGATATAGTGTTAGTACTGCTTGTCCTTTTACTGGTTCTTCTTATAATGTCTTGTCAGCGCCATAATTTTAAAGATATCTGAAACTTGCAGTATATTTTCATCAACCATAGATGATTTGCAGTGCACTGTCAATATGTCACTGTAACCTTGACCTCAAGATCAAAGGTCAGACAATGCAAGTGCATACTTTTCAGTAAAATCTGGTCGAGGCTGTAACTTTGGAACATCCAGACCAACAAGAGTGATTAATATAAGTTGAAATAACTTGTTTCATAATTGTTGTAAAATAAACAAAGCTTATATTTAAACTTTTGAACCATAAGAAGAGATCTTGATGAATCTTGCAGTATACCTGCATCACCAACAGACAATATTCAGAGCACTGTCACACAGTCATTGTGGCTTTGACCTCAAGGTCAAAGGTCAAATAAATGCAAAGTTTTCAGAAAAATCTTGTCCGAACCAACTGTTAACCAATTAACAATATGCAGTGTTCTGTCTGGTCACTGTGACCTTGATCTCAAGGTCAAAGGTTAAATTACTGAAATAGCTTTTCAGTAACATTTAGCCCATTTTGAAACTTGTAATCTGTTGCAGGTATCTTGATGAATCTTGAAGTTAACATGCATCACCCACTGATCTTACTGTCGTTAGTGGTCACTTAAACTTTAACCTCAAGGTCAAAGGTCAAATAACTGCAGAATTCACTAATCTAAAGCATGCAAATATACATATTGGCTTTTGAGACGTGACTGTTTTCTTGTTCACAAAAAGAAATTCAAGTAGTCGATTTGATTATCATCTAAGATTCCTCCCGTACATATGTTAGTATGTTACACTCATTCATGCCTCAATGTTATTTCATGAAACTTCATGTAAATGTTCAAAATGGCAATGCCTTGTACAAGTTTGCGTTTCGGGTTTCTACGTTTTGTTTTTAGAAAAAACTTTGTCATTACCCCAGCGACCTCATTACTGAACGGGATTTCATGAAACCTTCATACAAGTGTTGAGTATGACAATACCTTGGAACAAGTTTCAGGTTACTGTGCTGCAGGTCAAGGTCACTGTTTTTGTCATTGCTTTAGCGACTTAATTTCCTCTTACACATGTCACAATGTGTGAATGCGAGGGATTCGTATCGCTTGTGATTCCTTGTTATTTATCTGAGAAGTGTTCAGCTTTTCCTTTGTACATTAAATTTCATTTTTTTTAATAGTGGAAGGAGGTCACCCCAGATAATCTGATGGACTCCAAACTGAAGTGTGTGTTCGAAATGCCAGTGGAGAACAATCAGGCTGCCAATCAGTCAAGTGTAAGTCGATTGATCAGAAAATTATATTTTACATATATATTCATTCTTTGTGTTACAGGTTAGTCTGTTGTAATAGTTATCATGAAGAAGTCTCTCTTAGATTATAACAACACATTTCTGTAATACAAATCACTTTATATCCTTGATTTTTTTTTGAAATTTTGCTTCCAGCCACTTATTCATTAAGATTTGAATTCATGACATGAACTGAATACTGACAATTTTTTTATGGATTTTGTCAGGGTTTAAATGTCCTGCAAAGGATCCCATCGAAAAGCGTTCCTGTATTTTTCCTAATTTGTCAGTTGTTGTTGATAAATATTGGGGAAAAACCCAGACTTTCTTTATATGTGGGACTAAAGTTGTTGTAACACTACAAAATTTTCCCAAAATTAGGACAGGGACCATTCACAAATATCAACCTGACAAAAGTCTCGAGTATATATGGTTTCTTTCAGTGTCATGAATTCATAATGCAATTTCATTTGAAAAATAAATATGTTGAGAAATATAAATTATTTACCAAATAGAATTGCATGTTTTGAAAAAGAAGTATGAACAAAATATCTGTATTCCATAAAATGAGGCTAAGTTCGAAAGTTCCTCACTTAAATAACCAACTGTTTCGGCCAGGTGAGCTTATGCTGTACTGCAGTGTCTGTCGTCCGTCCGTCAACTTTTTCTTTTGAACGACTTCTGAAGAACTGTTGGACCTAGGGTCATGATATTTATTCAGTAGGTACCTGGGATGGAGTGCTATAAAGTTCCATCATTAAAATGACCTTGACCTAATTTCAAGGTCACAGCGGTCAAATATGTAAAAAAATTCAAACAACAATATTCTAAGAAGCATTTGGTCTAGAGTCATGGTACTTGGGTATGTTATGTAGACCAGAGGTACGAATCTTTTTCTTTCTTACAGTAATGAGGTCATATGTCAACTTTAAGTGCTAGCCGGAATCAACGGTCAACAAGGGTTAAAAGCTTTAAAATTACAATTTCAAATGTCAACCAACAATATCTTGAGAAGCGTTGAAGAGATGTTAAAATGTCTGGTGTTGTTCTTGTTACCAAATTTGGTCTGAAGTTACCTATATGTCGGTTTCATGTAAGAAAGGAACAGAAGAGCGATACAGGCCCTCTGGGCCTCTTGTTTTAAAGTCATGAAGGATATATGTAAATATATATATTCCTTTAGCTTGTGTTGGTCAAGTACAGTATGTTTTCTGCTAACATTTCATTTAGATACAATAATGCATCGGAAGGATTTTAAGTATGTAAAATTTGCAGGGGACACATATATTACATATATTATATTGTTCTGCCATACAGTACGCTTGCTATAGTATTTTATCGACTATGTGCCTACTTTCTTTGTTGATGTAAGACTACAACCTGCATTTGTTCTTTTACAGGTCAACAAGGATTCTGAAGAGAAGCCAATAAAACCTGTTAAACAAGTTCAGCTAGAGAGCTCTCCGCCAACCAAAGTAATCAAGAACTTACATGTTTGAGTATTTTTACCATGGCTTTGTAAATTTGTACATGAAAATTTGTAACAAAATTTTAGTAATTACATTAAAATGATATTATAAAGCTGAGATTTTGTATAATTTGATAACAAATTTGAATTTTTACAGCTCTTATGCTTGATATATCTGTGTAGACAGGTAACAATTCAGCCTTACTTTCTACATCTTTCTTAACTTAAAACGAGTTACTTTCAACTTAGTCCGAATTATTCTGACGTTTTATCAACTTTTTTCGTATCGGTCTGTCGTCGATTAACGTCAGAACTCCGTCCCTCTATAATATGCGGGAAATATGCGACCCTCGCCTGGAGCGCACTTCAGACTGATATTTTAGAAACAAATCGTCACTTTCACACACATGTCGCACATGAATCGAAAGATCTATTCTTTATGCACAAATGAGCATACATAACATACCTCAAACAACTAATACAATCACTAAAAACATATTTTTTCAAACTTACTCTGTTTTACTCTAGTTTTTTGATAGCCCCGCCTTCCAATGCCACTTGACTGAAATCTCGCCGGCCTACGTCATAACGTTGGGAAATACCTTCGGTAACGCGAGATCTCTTCAAGTCATGTGACATTTCTCATGGCCGAATTTCCATAAAAAACAGGGGTTGGTAAAGAAAACGTTGGAAAGTGCTTTTCGTAATGGTCTTTGAAACATCTTATTGATACCACCTAGTGCATAAAGAATAGATCTTTCGATCCATGTGCGATATATGTGTGAAAGTGACGATTTGTTTCTAAAATATCAGTTTGAAATGCGCTCCGGGCGTGGGTCGCATATTTCCCGCATATTATAGAGGGACGGAGTTCTGACGTTAATTGACGACAGACCGATATGAAAAAAGTCGATAAAACATCAGAATAATTCGGACTACTTTCAACTCTAAAGCCCCTAGGTCCCTTGTTCTGTATCACTATCCAATATGTTTGTCTTTGTCATAGGCAACAAGTCAAGATGCAGAATTACGGAAATCTTTGGAAGATAAACAAAGGTTGGAAAAGGAGGTACAGAGTCTTCGGGACGTAGTTAGTTCTCTAAAGGTAAGTTGATGCTCAGTCTGTTGTATGCTGAAACATTGTATTAAATTCATTTAAAGTTCAAAAACAGAATTCATTCATGATAAGATATTAAAGTCAAGACTGTAAGCCAAAAAAAATTCTTCGCTGGTTTTCAGTTGCATATCTGTAGAGTTATCACCACAAATGTTTATTCCACAGGAAAATGAGGCACGCCTACGGAAGGTTGCGATGTCAGACACTGTGAAGTCTACCCCTGCCCCCGCCCTAGTGTCGTCGTCGTCCTCCCAAGCTCAGGCCCTGAACCTTCCCCCAATTGTCTACCTTATTGCTGCATTTGTGATAGGAATTATCATCAGCAAGTTAATACTGTAGTATAACCTCAACACGCTGAGCGACTTTTAAAAACAAAACTTTTAATGTAATGAAAAATAACAAAATGTGCAAGATTACAAAAAAAAGATTCAGACAAGCTGCATGAAGATGTTTTGATGAACTTTATAGAAGATGTCGTTATCTTTTGTCACCCACGACAGGATATCAAGAAGGTGATGCTGGTCTGAATCATTATAACATGTTAGTCTTACTGTTTGCAAACCCCACTAGCTAGTAAAATGTGAATTTCAGTTTTCAGCTAGATTGCAAAAATTGTTTGTGTTTTAGTGGTTATAAAGAATATGATATATTAGTTACTTACCTAAACACTTTACTATTGTTATCAATAACCCTTCACAATCATTTTGACACTCCTTATGATTTACCAACTAATTCACATTTTTGTGAAGAAAGGGGGTTAAAAATTTACATTGTAATCAGCACTTGATTCACATTTTTTTCATCAGAGAAGATATAAGAAAAATGATCTAGTTATATATCCTTTGGATGACATCAGTGTGTGTTTTGTTTGATTTGTTGAGCCGTCTCACGCCTTGGACCAGATTGGCATGATGACCACCTGGGAGTGGAAGGCTTTAGTTTCATCCTGAAACTGTCGCACAGCAGCAGTGAAGAACAGGGACAGCGGCAGTTCATCTATATTGGTTCAGACTTCGTATAACTTATGGCACTGAATAGATGTGTTCTATAGTTTGTTAATAACTACATTGAAGGACAGGCTGTTAATAGTTTTAGATGACAGTGAGATCTATGGAGTTAAAAATACACTTTTAAGAAGTATATAGAATACTGGCATGGTAAAATGAATAAAAATAAATAACAATGTACTAGAAACAACATTTTGAAATTAAAAAAGTAAAAGTAACAAATATTTTTCAAAAACCCAAATCAGAATTTTGAGAAAAACATTAAATGCCTTCTGAAAACTTGATGATTTTTTTACCGACTGCTGCTGTTGTGTGATGGTTACTATTAGTAATTGCAAATATTTATGTCTTCAACAGCTCCTTATTTATTTTTGCATGCAATACCAACTGTCCATTCAATATGATATGCATCAAATAAACACTTGGTTTACTGCTGTAAACATTTAACTTCCTTAGTGACTTATACCGGTAAATCATATACATTTGTATACAAATTTAAGGCTTAGCTACATTAATTTGTGTTATGTTTGGGAAACTAGAAGTTAGTGACACGAAGTTGCTCTGTAAATATACATATATATATATATATATAATATTAATTGTCTCCTTGATACATGTAGTAAATTCACGAAATAGCAGATGTATCTTTTATTTGCCATCAATTATGGATCCCACTTTGTTGACTTTTTTTTTGTTTCCAGTGTTTTTACTTATATACATGGTCATTATTTGTTGGCGAAATTGACATTAACTCACTACACGTGTATACAATTGACCCATGGTATTTTTAGAGGATCGTGTGGACATTTCTTTGTGCTAATTGGATTTTTTTTTAGTTCTAAACCTTATAATGGTGTTTAATGAAGCCCTTGCTTGTGTCTTATTATACAGGGCATCACTATTGTCCACAAAAGGGAATGAAAGACTCAAGTTCAACACAGGAAACAGTTTCTGTATGTGGTGCTTTCATTAAGGTCTTTTTATAATATTGAATTTTATTCCTACAAACAAGGGTAATATTAAGCGATAATGTTTTCAAAGAACAAAAGAAAAAGAGTTAATTTTCACAACTCACAGTTATCGGCAGCAAATGAATTATCCTGATAGTTGGATTCTATAATCAAAATATGACTGAGAAAAGTAGCTGAACTGGGTTTCTGCAAGATTATCTTGCTCTTCCTTCAGCAATAGAAAATGTTAAAAATAATCAGTGTAATATGTTTAGTCTTTGTATACTGGTGAATAGTGAAATTGTGGAAAACAAGTTTAGGACATTACAGAATTTTCTCCCATTGTAAGTTTCTGCCTGCATCTAGAATCCAGTTTTTACATTGAATGACCATACAAGACATAACAGAGAAGCCACCTGTCAGAAGTGGTCCCTCGCTTTCCTCGAGACACATAGCTTGTGTGTCAGGTGTATCCATACAAATATAAGTGCTGCTTGTTAATGTTGTATATTTAGTATACTCTTGTACAGTACAATATGTTTGTATGTATAACATCTGTACAGGTTTTTTTCTGAAATTTAATATGGTAACTTTTACTAATAAAAAGCAAATTTCATGTTTTTCTTACTAGGTAATAAAACAGATTTAGTGCCAAGTTATTCATTACAGATTGCAACTTAAGTGGTTAATATTTGTAATCGGGAGGAAGAAAAGGATTAAATCATAAACAATGGGTTATGTCCCTTTGTGTGTTTTCAATTTACACTTAACTCCGTGCAATTTAACGTTAGTGCGAGTGCTACGGCTAAGTTATTCTACAGCTAAGTTATTAGCTGTAGTGACGTGTCAGGAAATTTAAAAGGACACCCTTGTATGGAGAAGATATTAAAGCTAGTACCATAGTGTGTGTAGTCTATTTGATATGTGCTAAAATACTGCAATATATGTTACAATTATACAAACACATTTTACATGTCTATGAAGTGAAAGTGCATGATTGTATGGTGTTTTGAATAGTTACGTAGTGTTGAAGTGGAGACTAGTAAATGTGGGTTGGACATTATGATATGTATAATTATTATAAATTTGAGTTGTATAGATTATTTAAATTAGTACTCATTCATGTATGTTACTTAACTTCAACAGATCATAACATTTGTACAATGAGGAGGGTGGTCGTAGATTACTTCATTGTTTTTATTTTTTTGTTTTTTTTGTTAGATTTTGTTTTTGGCTAGCAAACAGTCTAGAAAATGATAAAACTTGTCATTTTGATAAAATTAATATCTACTATACAACAGTATGGTGTATCTCGATTTGAATGTAATGAAGTTTGATTCCCTAAAATATGTCTCACACTTTTGTTGAGAAAATATCTGAAATAAAACTTGTTAAATGGAAATTGTTGTGCATGTTAAACTTTATTATCCTGCTACAGGAAAATCATGTGATGAGATACCTTGTTCCACTCTATTCAGGTGAAACAAGATACAGCAAATGTTTCTTTTATCATGTGACCTTATAGAACAATGTGAGTTTATATTAGATTGCTATAGTTTCCTAGGACTCCTGTCAAACTGGGGGTCACAAGAACTCTCCTGTTAATTTATGTCAACATGCAGTACCCCCATAATGTTACAGGAGGTATATTTCTATTGAATCACAGATTGATTAGCTTTCCTGTTGCCTTGTACATGCTTTTTAGACCTAGTCAATCCAATATGCAGCAAGACCCAATACATTTGGGCCTGACATATTCTATGACCGACTAGAGCGGATCAATACAGTGGTTGTGTGATAAAGTGCGTTTGAAAGGTCACATGATCAGTGGTATCTATGGTGCGTGTGAAGTTGTGTGGAAGTACCTGGATTTGTGCTGTTAGATGTATAATTCTGATATTCCTCATCTAAAATTGATAAAACTAAATACAGTACATACTGTCATTCCCTTTAATACCAAATCTATTTAGGAAATATAAATATGTATGACCAATTCCTGACTTAAAAAGTGATGGTTGGGATTCAACTTTGTTGCCAGTCTCCATATAATACGCATCTCTAAAGTGCCAACTCACTAAGACAAGCGGCTTCTGTATGTCAATATGATAAATGTGTGTAGAATATTTTGGACCATGTATGCTGCAACATAAAGTTTGTTTTCATAGACAGAACGGTACCTTTCAAAATGAAAATGACATGGGATCATCATTTTCATTGAGTTGTTACTTTTTTTATATTTAACATTTAACATAAGGCAATGTAGTGGGATAAATATTACAAATGACATTTTTTCAATGAAAATATATCATTGTTATAGCAAGGAAAATGTTCGTCAAAAATATACAATACTCTGTTATATTTAATTAGCAGATGGAATAAAAAAAAACTGAAGTTGTACAAATTATGAAATGATTGAGTTTATGGAAACCTGGGTCTTTCCTAGAAGGATAAGTCGGACCAATAAACCACACATTATGGGGACATGAAGCCATTGAACCCTACATAACATGGGATCACCAACCCAGTGAATCCAACACATCAGATCACAAGGCCGAGTAAACCCCATACATTAATGGGCTATGGACACCATATATTAAAGGGTCACGTGGCCAGTGTGAGGACCACACAATATGGGTTCAGGTGTCGTGTATATTTCCCCTATTATAGCATCCTTTCTTATGTCTTGCCACTATTTTTTCACGTTATACTTCATTCTGTTCTATTATTTTCACTTGATGATTTCATACGTGTAGGATAATGCCCTTCCAGTGTTTAGTGTTGTGTTAACAGAAACACCCTGATAGTGATTTTATATAGTATATCTAATTTATGTTCATGTTATATGATCATTTAAGTCAATAAAATTCCCATATTCATCACCTCGAACGTGTACGATTATTTATTACATCTGAATGGTTTTTAATTTATACCTTACATAGAAACGACAGCATATTATGTGTAGTACATTAACGCCTTGAAAACAATCTTGGCAAAAAAATGTCACTCAGACTGGCCAAACTAGACCTGATTGATACTTAACGTATTTCTCACCAGGTGATTATGATGTGATATGAATGCGATATACCCGAGGCATTCATTAACTGATTCTTGCGCAGTGGGTCTCATCATTACCAGTGGTATCATCAGCCTTGTATATCTTTGTCATGTGAATCATACGAAAGACTTGCAAACACGTCTATTTCATGGATATGTAAATGATGTGAAACTCCAAACCATTCATCACTACTTTATGAACCAAAAACATCATCTGAAAACATCTTCAGTGTACTAGACGCGAACAATAACACATCGATTTCAAACTCTAGTACTAACAGTGATATTTCGGTTCCCAGTCCCATCGCTACACCATCCCCGAAACCAAAGACGTCTAAACATCCAAGCCATGATAAACCTAAAGTTCGTGTACTTACCATCAATTTTCGAAGCATCAATAATAAACTAGACCAGCTTGAAATCCTGCTAGACACTGCAGACGCCGATGTTATCATAGGCACTGAAACATGGCTGAACGCACAATTGCTTCTTCTGAACTCTGCCCACATCATCGTTATGATGTTTATCGAAATGATAGATTAAACTCAAGTGGGGGTTGCGTTCAAATAGCTATTTGTAAAACATTGTCCAGTTCTGAAGTATACAAGAGTACAACAACTGAAACCATTGGAGTCAAAATTCAATCGAAACATACCTATTCGTAGAACCATTTATTCATGGAAAAAGTCTGACTTGGACAAGTTAAGATCTATGGTGTCCGGTAGGTTCTCCGATTTTCTTCCAGAGAACTTTTTTTCCTCAAAATTTATTTGGGAATTCTTCAAAACATATATTCTCCTCGCCATGGATATATATGTGTTCCTCACAAGTTATCAAGGTCCAAAAACTCTAATCCCTGGATTAATACGGAATTAAGACGCATGATAACACGCAATTCTAAGGCACATAAACAATTCAAAAAATCTAAAAGTCAAAAAGATCGTCAGCGCTATCTACATCTTAGAGCGGAAGCCCAGAAGGCCTCTCGTAAGGCACATCAATCTTATCTTAACAACATTTTAAGCCCATATTTCGTATACAATCCAAAACGTTTTTGGTCATATGTGAAAAGTAGAAAACAAAATTCACATGGTGTCTCTCCATTGCGTGCTGAAGACGGTATTGTTTACAGTGACCCCACAGAAAAGGCTGAAATCCTGAACAGACAGTTTAGGAGTGTATATACTAAGGAGGACAACTCTTGCCTACCAACTTTAGGAACTAGTCCGTATGGGAGCATGTCATCTATCTCAGTCTCTCCAAACGGCGTACTGAAGCTCCTAAATGGACTGGAGCCAAACAAGGCAGATGGTCCTGACTTCATCCAACCACGACTACTTAAGGAACTTTTCTCTAATATTGCACTGCCCCTTTCACGTATCTTCCAACACTCTCTGGACACTGGTGAAGTTTCAGAGGACTGGAATATTTCCCCTGTTTTCAAGAAAGGGGAAAGGAGTAAGGCGGCCAACTACCGCCCAGTTTCCCTGACTGCTGTGTGTTCTAGGAGTAAGGCAGCCAACTAGCGCCCAGTTTCCTTGACTGCTGTGTGTTCTAGGAGTAAGGCGGCCAACTACCGCCCAGTTTCCTTGACTGCTGTGTGTTCTAGGAGTAAGGCGGCCAACTACCGCCCAGTTTCCTTGACTGCTGTGTGTTCTAGGAGTAAGGCAGCCAACTAGCGCCCAGTTTCCTTGACTGCTGTGTGTTCTAGGAGTAAGGCGGCCAACTACCGCCCAGTTTCCTTGACTGCTGTGTGTTCTAGGAGTAAGGCAGCCAACTAGCGCCCAGTTTCCTTGACTGCTGTGTGTTCTAGGAGTAAGGCGGCCAACTACCGCCCAGTTTCCTTGACTGCTGTGTGTTCTAGGAGTAAGGCAGCCAACTAGCGCCCAGTTTCCTTGACTGCTGTGTGTTCTAAAATAATGGAACATACTGTTCACAGCAGCATCATGTGTCACCTAGACCATCATCAGATTCTCACAAATTATCAACATGGATTTAGGAAACATCGTTCATGTGAAACTCAACTTGCCATCACCATTGAGTACTCAGACAGACATAATTCTTTTGGACCTTTCTAAAGCTTTCGATAAAGTTCCTTATAATCGTCTACTGCTAAAACTCAAATATTATGGAATTGAAACTAGCCTCTTCATTGGATTCAGGGCTTTTTATCAAACCGTTCACAACGTGTAGTGCTTGATGGTACCCGATCCTCTTCATGTCCTGTGGACTCTCGAGTACCTCAAGGTACATTGTTAGGTCCCTTGCTATTTTTGATTTTCATTAATGACTTGCCTAATGACATCTCATCCACTGCCCGACTATTTGCGGACGATTGTCTCATCCATCGTACTATTAAAACTCAACAAGACCAACAGAGTCTCAAGCATGACCTATGTACCTTGGAAAAGTGGGAGAAGTCAGATGTCCTTTAATGCTGATAAGTGCTTCACAACACATGTCACTAGGAATATATTACCAATGTCCTATGCTGATACCAGCTCCATGGTCAACCTTTAGGGGTGCTGTCATCAAGTAAATAACTGGGCGTAACGACCTCTCCTCGAATGACCACATTGCAAACGTGACCTCGAAGGCTAATCGGTCGATAGGGTTTATCAGACGTAACTTAAGGAAGTGTAAGCCTGAAATCCAAGCAAACGTCTATTGTGCAATCATACGGCCATCACTGGAGTATGCTGCCCCCATCTGGGATCTCTACCATCACCAGTTAATCAACAAATTGGAACACACTCAACGACGAGCTGCCCGATTTGTCTTTAACGATTACCAGTTTAGGGAACTTGGTGTTGTGACTAGCATGCTGACCAGTCTGGGCTGGGAAACGCTTGAACAAAGACGTGCTAAAGCCAGACTACTTTTGTTCTTTAAGGGTCTTATTGGCCTTGTTGACATTCCTCTATATAAATATGCATCAAAGTCTGACTCTCGAACACGCAACATCAATACTTTCAGGCCCATAACCACAAAAACTGATAACTACAAATTCTCATTCTTTCCTAGAACAGTTACATCATGGAATCTTCTACCCAAAAACCTGAGGATCTGCACATCTTTAGAACAGTTTAGGGCGGTCTTATCTCCCCTTACTGTGCAGATCGTGTCATCATACTAATTGTGATTGTTTAAACTTGTAAATAGTGCCATTGTGGTTTTTATCTGACCTAGTCTGGTCATGCACACACAGGTTCGTCATCATTCCACATCAGGAATTTAAATCTTAACGGGAAGAAGAAGAAGATCTGAAAGCTTGTAACCTTCGCTTTCCGAAAATACCCGTTTTTACGGAATTGGTCCATGAATAAGGTTTTTGAAGACTGTTGAAATTCGCTCTTTGTAACTAGTTAAAACGGGCACATGTACCAAATGTGTCGTCATGGGAAGTTGAACAAGCGGAGCATGAACACACAGCATTTTTCTGAAGTAGTTTGAATACCACTTAAGATGAAACAAAACAATTTCGAGTTCTCTATCTAGAATAGGTGTAAAACGCGAAAGCTACACGATTCATTTTTTTCCCACCGAAAAAATACTAACTTCAACGCGATATACCAGAGGCTCTCATTAACCGATTCTTCCGCAGTTGGCTTCCTCGGAAGTAGACACAGGAGAAATCTATAAAAGTGGCACTCCATAAATCGAGATGTGGTAACACCTAAACAAAAATGTTATGTCACCAAAAACAGCACGACAGGCCACAGTACTTGTCCTCCAAATTCCAGGTATTGCTATCTTCTAGTATTCTATCTCTGCACCTCTGGAATGCCTCATACGTGCCTTATCGTTTTTGAGAGATGAGGTGTGTCGGCACCGATTACCAGGACAAATAAAAGTACTTAGATTTTGATCCAGACACACCTTTGCTACCCAAAATGTTGTGCATGGTGGGGGAACATAATCTAATCCAATATGCTCTGTGCAATTTCCTACCGTAGTTGCAAACCCCCATGGACAGTGTCGGTAATTACGTTGATTTCGCTACCATTACGAACATTTTTCTCAAAAGTTGCTCTACTGCATTGTTTAGAAGTTAAGAGTTGCTTTTATGTAATGAGTGTTATTAAGCAATAAAATGTCCAAATCTAAGAAAAATCAGGCCTCTCAAATTAAAACTGTTTCGTAACATAATCAT